ATGATCCAGAAACCAACAGTGAGTTGTTCCGGGATGCATGCCGTCTAAGAGCTACTCAGCGTCAAGAACAATTATGTAATTACAGGAGGTAATTACACTCAGCTGATGGTCATTAGACTCCTCTCCAGACTATAAAAAAGATTGCTTGTGCCACACCCTTCTTGCAGAAGTCAATGCTTGGACTAAAAAGAAACTAACTTGGCAGGCCAGAGTTAGTCTGAATTGCTGCCAAGGTTTGTCGGACTTGCTGCCAAGGTCCTTATCTGTTTGTTTATTTGGCTTTCAGCCACCAAGATTCTGGTCTTGTTATTAAAGGACATTCCATTTTACGCTTGTCTCGGCTTTCGTTACTAGACGGAGGAGGGGGTCAGAACAGTTAACTAATTTTACTTCATTATAAGGTTACATTATCAGAAGCCTGCAAGTATGAAAATACATTTCTCCCCTCCCCCTTGCCTTTAAAGCCCAAGAAACAAGGGAGAGTCCCTCCTGACACATTTGCCATGCCCACATTCCTTCTGCAAGTTAAGCTGCGTCTTTTCTAACTATTCCCCTAGTTTTGGCTCTTCCCTCTGTCTCCCAATATCATTCCCGCATGCCATTTCATTCCATCTCATACAGTCCCTAATCATTTGAAGATATTCAGCTCAGATTCAAACAAGTATGGAAACAGAGGGTTTTGTCAATGACGAGTAGCCCCAGGCCGAATGTTGAACATGTCATATGGATTTTTGCTCAAACAATGTCAGAAATATCACTGCATCAGGATTAAATTTTATATGAACTTTTATATGAATCTCAAATTCCTGCTTGCAGTGGCCAAAACCGTCTTGAGGCAAGGCTGATCATTACTGGGCAAAACTGATCTGGATGAGTGTAACAGATATAAAAGTTTGCCATCTGGATTGTTTTTGCATATAAATGAGGTTTAGAAAGCTTCAGGGCCTACTTTATTTTGTCTGGCATTTATTTAAAGTAGCTACAAATTGTAAAACATTTTTTAAAAAAGTGGAATTCTTTGTTTTCTAAGTGTAATATGTTTAGGGAATCTGTTTTACTGACAACGCATACACTTCTCCTTTTCTGTTCTTATTGTTGTGTTTATTTAGTATGTTTTCATTTTCCATACTTATGAAATTAGATTTTATTTTATTTTATGGAGTTTAAATACTACTTGGGACAAGAAAATCCCTTTTAATGCTTAAAATGACATATACCCACTTGGAATTTCTGTGAAAAGAGAACATCTCTACCATATTTGGAGGATGTTATCTGCTTCATGTAAGTGTTCATGAACTTTCAGTGGGAATACCCTATTATTTTTTCCTTTCAGAGTGAAAAGCTCTTGTTATATGATACTGTTCAGAGTGAACTAGAAGAGAAAATCAGACGACTTGAAGAAGACCGACATAGTATTGACATTACCTCAGGTAAGTTACTATTCAACAGATAATGTTTGAATGAATGAGTCACTACCCAAATTAATTAGAATCTGTGTAATAAAGATTGCAGTGAATTATAGCACTTACTTGATTTATTTTTGGAGCTGCTATTTTGTCTACAAAGCAAATTAAGAAGAATTAAGGGTCTTAAGTTATGTTTTTAGATTTACTTCTGCATTCTACCTCAAAAATTTGATCAGCTAGCTCATTGTTTTTCCACTTCAGCAACTTTAAGATGGGTGGACTTCAACTCCCAGAATTCCGGAGCTAGCATGATGAATGTTGAAGTTTACCCATCTTAAACTTGCTGAGGTTGAGAAAGATTGAGCTACCTCATGCCTCTTAGTGAGGCCTCAAGTTTGTTTTCTGTTGCCTTCCGATACTTAAAATTAACCTAAAATAGGCATCCCCAATCTCTTTGACCCTTCCATAAAATTTCAGATTTTTCATTGATCCTCAAATATTTATTATATGAAAATAACTTAATAAGTACTACTTTCACTAATGATAGTATCAATAACAATAATGACAGACCCCTGGATAATCTCATTGATCCTCGGGGATTGATATTGATCACTTTGGGGAACCCTGACTTAAAGGATGCGTGAATAAAAATGATTCACCATTCTCCAAATCCCTGACCTATTTGAAGGTGGGTAGTTTTTGAAAGAGAGGAAGAAAGTGTGGTGGAATAAGGGAAAATAAACACACTTATGGTGGTTTGGGAAACTTTGTTTCTTCCTGTTTTAAAACAGTCCTCATAATTTCTTAAATATGTTTTAAGATATGAATCTGATTTTTCCCCAAATGTAGAAGTTTGTCTTTTTTTGAAGGGCTTAACCTACGAATTGTGGGATTAAAAAGGTGTAATTGCAACATTTTTCCCCTCTTTTTTAGAGTTATGGAATGATGAACTTCAATCTAGGAAAAAAAGAAAGGATCTATTTAGTCCAGAGAAGAAGAAACCTGTTGTTGTTTCAGATATCCTTTAGCAGCTGCCATAAACATACATTCATCATGCTATTCTATTTTGGAATAAGCAACATTGTGCAAAGCGTTGAAAAACAGCAAGAAGCAGTAAGCAAAATTAATGAATCTCAGGAGATAAGACTAAAGAAAAAGAAAATCAAATTAATTTTAGTTTGCATCAACACTGTTCAACCTATCTCTCCATGCCTTTCTAATTACAAATCAAGAATTTTTATAAACTTACCTTTTATTTTTCTTTTGGTTCCTTCCAATCATTGTTGACTTTTGATGCCTCCTTGGACTAGACCCTGCAAGGACTTTTGGCAAGATTTCAGAAGGCTTTGCCATTCAGTTATTTCTAGACTGAGAGAGAGTCATTGTAACAAGGTTACAATCTGACTTTTGTGCCTAAGAAGGGACTAGAACTCACAGGCTCCTGGTTTCTAGCCTGCTACTTTAACCACCACATAAAATTAGCTCTCATTTTTATAACTTTAACTACTGGGTATAGTCAGTTCAGTTACATTGTTGCTTATTCGTCACCTTTCCTAAAACATGTATAGGGAAACATATGATGGTAGTTTGAGACTATGATAAAATCATGAGCATTACAGTATTTTTCGGAGTATAAGACGCACCGGAGTATAAGACACACCATGATTTTGAAGAGGTAATTTTTAAAAAAAGGTTTTTGCACTCTGCAGCCCTCACAAACCCTCAGAGGCCTGTAGTGTGCTCCTGGGGGGTGGGGGGGAGGAGCAAAAATGGTCCATTTTTCACAAAAATGGGCTATTTTTTGCAGGAAAAAAGAGCATGCAGATGCTTTGGGAGGCTTGTAGAGTGCTCCTGGGTGGGGGGAGGGTAACAAGCAAAAATGGCCCATTTTTTGCTTGCTTTTGCCCTTCCCAGCTCTCAGGAGAACTTTGCAAGCCTCCCAAACCCTCCTCATGTCCATTTTTGCAAAGGGGGCGGGGTTTTGGAAGGCCAGAAATGCTTGTATTCAATGTATAAGATGCATCCAGATTTTCACCCTCTTTTAGGGAAAAAAGGTGTGTCTTATACTCTGAAAAATATGGTATATTTTAATAGAGCTTTAGGATACATTTGACCACTGTAGTTACTATATGTCTAGTGTGAACAATATAGTATCATAATATTAACCCCTCTAAATATTGTCATCTATAGAGTAATAAAAAGATTGGTGCTGACATCTTGTTATGAACACATCTATCCCAAATTTCTTTTCACTGGTTTAGGACTGTTATGTGTATGTGTGGATCAGATTTTTTCCAGAAAAAGATTTCCAGATTTTTTTCCCCTTCCAGCTTGAAAGGATATACTATATGCTATAAAATTATAATTTTAATCTCTGCTTGAAAATAAATGTGGGGAAATAGTTTATGAATTTATACAAAGTAATCTTAGCCTTCTTATGCAGTTGATTTCTGGTTTGATCCACTTGGTGGGGATGACACAGAGATTTTTTAAAAATGTGATCCATTTTGGAAAAAGTACAACCTCCTTAACATATTAACGGCCCTATATTGTGTATATGCTACAGGATCTTGATATACTTGAAGACTGGACAACAATAAGGAAGGTATGTACATTTTTAAGTGACTAGTTTTAAAATATTTACAAGTTGTCGTAGGCCCATTTTTAGACTATGCAAATAAAGAAAAAGATAATCCTGTAACTATTTTGTAGGAAGAGAGATATATGATGGTGTATCATATTGATTGGTTTGATGGTGTATTCATAGGTTGCTCCTACAAAATGTCTGTATATATTCAGTTACAGTAGTACCTCAGTAGTTGTTTATTTATTTATTTTAGAAAATGTATATTGCCACCTCATTCATGGCGACTCAAGGTTTACAGGAATAATTGTTAATTGGTTCTGTGAAGCACAACAAATACTAAAAACAAACCACATGACTTAACCACATCATCTTTTGTTTTGGCTGAAATGGACTTCCTGTCTCTCCCTTTTCCTATATCAGCCACCTTCTCAGCAGAGCCAACTTCCTGTCCGCCCTCTGTGGTTGTTCCCCACTTTTTTTTGCAGCAACTTTTCTGTCGTGGTTGATTTCCTGTCCACTCTCTGCAGCCATCCCACTTTTCCTATTCCAGCGCATTGAGTACCACACAGATAATGAATACCCAGACAACATTTTCATGTCAAAATGCTTCAAGTACCAAATTCAATAAGTTTTGAAGCAGTTGAGTACCAAAGTACCACTGTATTTGAAACAAGAAAGAAAATAATCATCTAGCATAATCATCTGCTTTCATTCGGTCTACTGTTTTAGTAGCATTCCAGGTTCTCTTATTTTTTCAGTGTATGGTTTATTCCAGTAGCCCACTTTTCATCAGATTGTCCTGGTTCTACAACATCTGTTTCAGACCTCATTAATCTGGGGATATTTGATCTGGCATGACTTTCTTGGGTCATATCACCCATATCCTGAGGTAGGCTAGTGAAAGGTTGGGGAAGTCTTTGCCCAAGGACCTCTATTGGTAAGATAAGTACCAACTGAGATTCAAGCCCTGAGATTCTCCCATATCAAAGGCCAGTGCTCTAATCACTAGCTATCCAATTGCAACATACACACTTCTTCAAAATAAGTTGTCTATGTGTCCATATATTTGTTTCACAGGAGTTGTCATGAAATTGTTCTTAAAATGAAATTTCTTTAGAAGATAGCTTGCTAAAGAATGACTTTTTAAAAAAATGAAAACTTTTTTTTTTAAATTTCAGGCAATGGCTACATTGGGACCACATAGAGTGAAAGCAGAACGTAAGGCAACTTACTTTACTCTTTTGCAGTTTATTCATAGAGTAGCCAATTATGAGTCATGCCCTACTCCACTGCTGCTGAAAAGCAGAGGCACTGTGACCATGAATTCACTGATGATGCAGTCAATTCCCCTTTTTCCGGCTGTAATCCTTTGTAGAGTACTAATATCTACAATGGCTTCCTTCTTACTTTCTATTTCCTTTCCCACCCTAAAAGCTAGGCTGCAATTTCTGGCGATTAGCTAAATACAAAAAATACAATAATGGGAAATTGATTTGTGGCCTTGACAATTTGAGGGCAATTTATTTTGGAAAGTTGAGAAGAGTTGATCTGAGGCAGGTGGTACCTACATCAAATCAATCAATAAATGGGTTTATTAAAAAATAATAAATTTGTTTGAACGTTCCTATAATATGAATAATATTTATCCAGCAATAGACAAAGTTTGCATCCCAAGCTAACTATTACATAGCCGACTCAAGAAAATTTATTCTTATGGATGCATTTTCAGTAAGAATCTACAATCTATTTCTGCTTAAGAGCAGAAGGTAAAATCACTCATGCATGTATTAACAGGATGTAAATTAGAAAGAAATTGGTTAACTTCTTAAAGCAACTGTTACATTTCATTGGCATTGTTTATACTGCCTCTTTTCAGCACCAGTCAAGATGGAAAAACACCTACACAGTACACGATCTGAGGAAGGAAAACTCTACTATAATGGGGAATGGTATGGACGTGGACAGACAATATGTATTGATAGAAAAGATGAATGCCCTACAAGGTATGATTTAAAAAAAATAAATTGAATAGACTTCAAAGACCCCCCCCCCCCTATTAAATGGTTTAAGCATATGTAGCTAATTTGGGCATAATAGTTGTGTAGCTGGGGAGGGTGTGAGTTCATAGTAAAGCATCCTTAGGGTGCATCAGCCAGATAGCAAAGCAGGATAGCATCAGCCAGAGCACAATAGCAATAGCATTTGGGCTTATATACTGCCCCATAGTGCTTTGTAGAATTTATCGGGTGCTCTGCAATGTAGAATCATCATTTGCATATTGCCCCCAAATCTGGATCCTCATTTTACTGATCTTGGAGGGATAAAAGGCTGTGTCAGCCTTTTTTTATAAAGTTTTTTTATTTTTCATTTTCATAACATATAATCACACGTATATTATTACATAGCCAACATCGTATTGTATTGTTAACATCAATTCATCTTACCATCAACTCCCAAAAACAATTATTTGCTCTTCTGCTCTCTATACACCATATTTGTAACTTACCCATCACTTTTTTCTCCCTCCCTCCTTCCCTTACCTCCCTCCTTTCTTCCCTCTGTCATCCTTCTCTTCTCTATTTCCCCTTCCTCTCTCCTTCTCCTCTCTCCCCTTTCCACTCCTCCTTTCTCTCCTCCTCTCCCCCCCCCCCTTGCCCTCTCTCCTATCCCTCTGTTCTTCCCTTACCTCTATCCTCTACTTCACATTCTTCATCTCATTTACTTGGTGTATTTCAACTTCTGCATAAGCTCCATTTTATGTTGATGGTATGTATAAATTCCTTTTCAATATA